TGCATGAGATTTTTTGTTTTGTAATTGAGTATATATGTTATAAATCATATTACACAAACACATGCTAAGATCTCTATATGAGTCACCATTGATGTTACCAAAATGCTCAGCAAAGAACCTTGTAGGTCTGTTGAATACTGAGTGACTAAGTGAATGGAGAAAGAAAGATAGATGTTCAACTTTGAAAATACTAAAGAAAAAAATTTAATGTCCCTTAGGTAATACAATTTCTTGTATAAATCTTGTTTCAAATTCCATGATATGAATCATTATATTCACTAGAAGATAAGCTCCATGAGATTAGAGTTTTATTTTGTTTTTTAATTGTCTTATGCAATTGGTTAGCACCAGTACTTGAGGTACTCAGCATTTAGTAATACTTAATATTGTTGGATGGAGCCAGCAGGTGGTGTGGTGATTAAAGTAGCTGGATTCTCACATCAGAAACCATGATTCAAGTCCCAGACCCAGTGGCTTGAAAATCATACCAGGCATGTGTGTGTGTGTGTGTGCGTGCCCAAAAATCCCAAAAGGAGAATGGAAGAGAAGGCATTGCAGTGTGGCCATCTTCCATGGGGAAAGGTGTTTTCTCGCTTTCTCTCTCCCTGTCTCTCAAAGCCCTGATAGGTTTTAGATCTCATAATGAATTATATGCAAAATATACTAAAATGAATTCTGATTAATGCAATAGTACAGCTTTAAAGCTATGAACACTGAAATATGGTCTTGATTTCTTTTATGATATTTTGCACAAACTGTGTCTTTTCTAAACAGATTATTTGACCCACAACACCTTATCTTACTCTCCATATGACTTGCTGACAATACAGTACTGAAACAGAGCAGAAAATGTAAAGTCTCTCCCCCAACTCGGCCCATCATTGAATCACACGGGATCACTGTGACAAGGCACATCTCACCTCACAGCTCACGTGCCCACATGCCCTGTCATGTCCCGGGCAGTTTGATTTCTTCTGGTCATTTGTTTCATTATAGCAACACCCACTGGTTTCTCCACTGCTGGAGCCCCCAAAGGAATTCTGCAGAATGTGACAAAGACTCGAGAAATATTTGATCTTACCCAGGAGTTGGGGCAGAAACTTGATTTCTCAGAGCCACTCATCGGTTCAGAGGTAATTTCCTCTCAGAACTATTCCTGGTTTTTTTCCTGAGCTGACCTAAGTCACTCACCCCTCTGTTCTCACACTAGCCTGAGCAACCAAATTCTCCCACTAAACTCTAAGTGACTAAAGAGGGCATGCCTTCCTCCTCCCTGGCACTTGTCGCAGTGGGTGGTATTATACCCGGAATAGGGTGGTACCCAATCAATACTTGCTAAACTTCCTGCTCCCTGAATGATTACATGGTGAAAATAGAATATTGTTACTAGATATGTTTCCCTAATAAAGTAAAAGTCATGAAACAATGTGAAAACAATAGTTTGATATTTCATTTCACAAAGGGTATATTTTCCACTTAAAAAAAAAAAAATCACTGCCTACTATTTCAGGATGCACCTGACTTGGTCAGGATCATGCTTTCAAGTTACTGAAATCCAAATGGAACAAGCTTAAGGGGCAGCAGGTGTTGTGATGGTTAAGGTGCTGGATTCCCACTTAGTCAACCACTGTTCGAGTCCCTGTTCAGACCTGGGAGC